CCCCCGCCCCCGCCGGGGCTCCCGCACCTGCCCCGCTCCCCGCCCCGCCCCTGCCCGGGCTCCCGCTCCGGGGGACGCTCTCCCCCGCCCGCTCCGCGGCCCCTCCGACCAGTCAGGGAGCAGCTTGCCTCGAGTCGGCGCTCCCATTGGCTCGATGCCCTGCCTTTGAAACCTCCCACGTCCAATCAAACTCAAGAGTGGAAAGAGGGCTTCGGAGCGGGGGAGGGGATCCCGCGGCGAGACTCGGGCCCCGGGGTGGCGGCTTTCCCGCGGGTCTCGACCCGGACCCGCCTCGCCTTACGCAGCTAACGGCCGGAGGGCAGGCACGCGGTGTGCTCGGCCACAGCCGTCGCCGTCCTTCCCTGAAGGGCCCCGAGCCCGCGGAAGACTCGCTGTCGCTGGGAGAAACTGAGGCGCGAAGGGCCAGGCCGGCCTTGCTCAAGCCCGGCGTGCGGGCGCCTCGCCTCGCGGCCCCTGGCCCGGCGCCCGGCGCCCTGCCGCGGGGTCAGGCCGGGGCGGGGCTTGGCAGGGCTGGTCCAGGATGCGAGATCCTGGAGGAAAGGAGCGCGGCGGCCTGTGGGGCGGCCGGCGGCCTGAGCTCCGGGGAGCGGGGAACACCGAGCGGGCCGTTCGTCGGAGCCACACGTCAGGCCGGAGGCGAGACCCCCGGTGCCGGGTGAGGCGGCGCGAGGGCGGAAGGAGGAGCGGGGGGACCCGGGAGCTGGGGGGAGGGCGCCCTCACCCTGGTCCTGCTCTCCCTGCAGAATGGATTTCCGAGCCCCCGACCTGCTGGACGCATGGCTGGAGTCCCCAGAAGGCGTTTTCTCAACAGGAACCTTCCCGGAGCTGGGACTGCACGGCCCGCCTCCAGAAGCCCCAGAGACTAAGCTCCAAGAACAGGGGCTGCGAGGCTGGGAGCCCCCTGGAGGCCACGGCTGCGTGAGTGGGAGGGTGGAGGTGGGGTGGGCGGAGGGGAACCGTGAAGAGGGCCCATCACTTCAGCCTCAGCCTCCCCGTGGAGAGACGTCTGAAGCCCGAGGCCCTAAAAGACTCGTGAGCTGTAGCTGTCCCCATGTCCAAGGGCACAGGGCCAGATGTAGGTCTCATGGGGGTCTGGAACTCTCTGTACACAGACGCCCTCTCCTACCGCAGGGCCTTCCAGACAGTGAGCCCGAAGACTTCCTGAAGCTTCTCATCGATCCCAATGAAGTGTACTGCTCAGAAGCCTCTGCTGGCAGCGACAGTGGCATCTCCGAGGACCCGGGCCGTCCAGACAGCCCTCCCGCCCCCCAAGCACCCAGTTCCCCTGCTCTCTATGAGGTTGTCTATGAGGCAGGGGCCCTGGAGAGGGCGCAGGGGGAAGCTGGGCCCGCCGTAGGCTTCATCTCTCTCCAGCTAGGTCAGTGCTCCCGGTGGAAAGGGGACAGTGGCCCCTCAGCTCCGGCCCTACCTGGGGCGAGAGGTTTTCCCAACCCGTGCCTCCAGCCGGGCCCTGCTGCCATTAGGGTGTACCCTTCCCGTCCCGTGTCTCCCTCAGGTCAGTGGAGCCCACAGCTTCTGGTGCCCGATGCCTGCGTGGTCTGCGAGCTGCCCCTGGATGCTCATGCCGACTCCCTGCCCAGAGCAGGCTCTGTCAACCCAGTGCCTCCTGCAGCCCCGGTGAGCCTTGGGCCAGCCTGATCCAGCACTCCTGGATGCAAAGACCACCCCTCCCCCGAGGGAGGGGAAACTGATGCTCATCTCTTTGCCCCAATTTTTGTGGCACTGAAAGGCCAGGAGAGGCTCGGGCAGCTTTAGGAGCAGAAAAGGACAAGGGAGGCAGAGCCCTTGGGGTGAGGCGGCGAGGACCCAGTTAAGGAGAAGGTGGGGTGAGGGCGTCTGGGGACAGGACCCGGGAGAAAGCCCAGACCCTGTGTGCAGTTTGCTCAGCGGGGCCACCGTTTCAGCCTCGGGTCTGGACACGGAGGGGGCGGGCTGCCTGGGAGCCCAGCAGGCCACCAGCACAGGGTGTAGGGAAGTGGGGAGGCGGCGCCGAGCAGCTGCACTCGCAGCCCAGGGCCAGGCGCAGAGGGTAACATGCTGGGCGCCTCCCTCAGGCTGGGTAGGCTGGTTCCTGCAGGGGGAGTTCGGTGGGGGGGGGGCTTGCACAGTCGCTGTCGTTGGGCAGCGGCTGGAAAGAGCTGCCTATGCGCAACGTGGGGACCGGGCTCTGGCCTCCCTGCACGTCTGGCTGAAGCTGGGACCAGAATCCACACCAAGCATCTCAGAATCGGGCTGAGGGACCTTAAGAAGCCGGATACTTCTAAGCTTGTGTTCGCATCAAAACACTGGGGAGTTTGTGGCTTCATGGGAGCAAGAAGGGACCATCAGGAAAAGGCAGAAAGACAAGAAATGGCTTGGCTAAAAACTAAGATCAGGAGTCAAAAGCAAACTCAAATTCCTCTTAAGTCAGAGTGAAGCATAAATCTTTCAAGGAGTATCAGAAAGGCGGGTTACTCGTCGACAGGTGAGGCTGGCGAGCTGTCCCCTGCCCCCCCCCCATACTGTATTTGAGGAGTGGTTCAGTCTGGTGGCCCTTGGAGAGTTCTTAGACAGGGGACGGAGCTTCCATCCAGAAAGTGGGGCTCAGACCATGGGGGAAATGGGCCACTGCCCCAGGGAGCTCCCAGCGGTTGACCTGGGCTGGACATGGCACTCTGCCAAATGGAAGTTAATGGACAAAAGTGAACCATTTTAAGCAAACCGTATCTTAGTGAGCTGCTCCCTGCTTTCTTCAAATACCCTAAAGCTTTGGGGACCAGAACCAGGCCTCCCTAGCTTGCTCAGAGTGCCGAGGTCCTAAGTCTCGGGACAAAGGACCTATCACAACCCCTCTTCTCTCCCTTCGCAGCCCCAGGAGGCCCCAGAGTCTGAACGAAGGCCCCCTCCCCCAACCTCACTTCAGGTCACTTATTCCTCCCCAGGAGGCACTCAGGGAGCCGGGAGCAGCCTGGGGGGGGGGGGGATGGAAAAGACCGGGCCCTCCCCCACTGTCTTGTCACCCTCTCCTGTTGTCCGTTCTCCGCCAGCCGCTGGGCCACCCCTTGTCCCTGACAGATGAGGAGAAGCGGCTGCTAGGGCAGGAGGGCGTCTCCCTGCCTGCTCACCTGCCCCTCACCAAGGTAACACGCTTCCCCGAAGGGTATCCCAACCCAGTGGCCCCGCCCTGGTCCACAGAGGCAGGCGGGGCGCTGAGGAAGGCTCTGGCCCGGGACTGACACACCCGGGCCCCCCAGGCAGAGGAGAGGGTCCTCAAGAAGGTCAGGAGGAAGATCCGGAACAAGCAGTCGGCTCAGGACAGTCGCCAGCGGAAGAAAGAGTACATCGATGGGCTGGAGGGCAGGTATGTCTGGACGTCCGTGTCCAGCTCCCCGTGGGCCACGTGTGGCCTCCTCCCTTACCAGGGCAGGCAGGTCGGGGACCCCGGGACCGCAGAGCTGGGTCCCACCTGTCCACACGCCCTAGGGCCGCTGCCTGCTCTGCGCAGAACCGGGAGCTGCAGAAGAAAGTCCAGGAGCTGGAGAGGCGCAACATGTAAGCGGATGCATAGCCTGCTCCTTGGGGGGCAGGTGCCCTGGCCGCCCCCCTCGCCGCCGGGTGCAGGAGGGGCGGCCGGGAGCGCCACCATTCTCGCGCCCTGACTCTTCACTCCGCCCTCACCAGCTCGCTGGTAGCTCAGCTCCGTCAGCTGCAGCTGCTTGTTGCCCGGACCTCCAACAAAGCTGCCCAGACCAGCACCTGTGTTCTGGTCAGTCCCCCCGCCCCCCAGTCCACCACCTTTTGCCTCTATCCCGGCACGCCCAGCCCCCACCACACCCACCTTCCCATCCCTGAGGACTCCAACCGCCCTCTATTCATTCTGCCCTTGGTTCCCTGCCTTTAGTGGCCCCACAGGCCAAGCGTCCCTTTTGTTTTCTCCAGATCCTTCTTTTTTCCCTGGCTCTCATCATCCTGCCCAGCGTCAGCCCCTTTCAGGGTCTCCGGGAAGCGGGGCCTGAGGATTACCAGCCTCGTGGAGGTGAGGCAAGGGCGGGGAGGAGCTGTTTTCCAGGAACTCAGACATGGGAGGAAGCCCTGTCCTGGCTAGGATCCCCCAGCTGAGCAAACACTCCACGACTGCCCTTCTTCCTCCACCCACAGTGATTTCCAGAAATATCCTGACCCACGAGGACAGGACAGAAAGTTTGGAGACCACGGTGGTAGGGTCCAGACTGGAGGGGCCACTTAAGGCCAAGGGTGAAAATGGCTCAACAAGAACAGCACTCGCGAAGACGGGCGGGAAGACAGGCCCCAGCGGGCGCGGGGGAGCCTTCCCGCACGCAGAGGAGATGTGAGCTGGAGGGCTCCGTGCCCACTTCCCCTCGCCGCTCTGGTGCTCCCTGGGTTTCCCATCCAGAATTCTTTGGCCTCAGGGGTCCGAATCCATTCCTGGACATCCTAAATGTCTGTACCCTGAAGCCTAGGCTTTGTGAGGAGTCATTACAAATCCTTTATACATCTGTAACTTTATTTCTTCTTTCGGGCTAGGGTTGAGGGGAAACAGAGGTTTCGGCTGAGAAATAAACTTTTTTGCTGAAATTGTATCCTGAAAGTTTTAAATAAGCAGAAGGGGAAGGTAGGTAGTTGGTAAACTGAGGCGTAAAGTTGCCACCCTGTTTCCACGTCTGCTGCCATGACTTCCTGTCCCAAACCAAATTACAGCAGGGAAGGGAACCATCCTACTCCTCATTTTGCTGGTTAATGCTCTAGACAGGAAACGCCACCATAAATTCCCAGAGAACGAGGGGCGCAAGTCCGTCCATCCCACTGTCTCTGTCTGAGGCAGGGTCCTCAAGACCCCTACCAAAGGGTAGAAGGTCGCTATATGGACTCGATTTGCTTCCGGACCTTTTCCAGAGCTTTTCTGTCCAGCTGCCGCTGACGAACGATGACGAGGCAAGCGAAGACCAAGGCCACACCCACGACAGCCCCTTCAAATTTCCAGAATAAGTGCTGCTCCATCAGAGCTGAGCGGCAGCTAAGAGCAGGAAGGGACAGTTACTCCCGGGGAAGGCTAGGCCACCTCTCCCTCTACTCCCTTCTACTGGAGCCCAGCCAAGACGCATGAGGGGAAAAGAGCTACCGTCAGCCCTTGGACGTGTTCACCGCACGCAGATCCCACTCCAGTACATCATCCGGCTGCTTTCTGGTGTCGCCAAAGCGGAGCCGGCATTAACCCGCTCAACAGGACCGGTGGTCGAGTGCGGAGAAACAGAACCAGGACTTGGTTCAAATACTTTGCCCCCCCCCCCCCCAATACGCCAGGTTGCCTCCAGAGGGACAGAAAGACCTGCGCAAAGTACCTAAAATCAGGAACAAAGGAAGTGACCTAGGTTTCAAGGAGAGAAACAGCACTTGCCTTTTCAACTCATTCCTCTTAGATGAGCTGCAGGTGATTTTCTCCACGTACCCCGTGGAGCCACACTCAGGAGTGGTCTTCTGTCAAGAGAAAAGGACCAAAGGACAGGTCAGGAAAGGGCAGCAGGAGAAGCAGAAAGACTCGCTCAGAAGGGGCAGGTGCCCAGCGGGTTTGGCTCCGGGCTGGTTCTGGTAGGGATGGTGGGTGTGCTGGATGCATGGTAAGTGCATTAAAAACACACCTCAGGGGCAGAGAGATGGGGACAGGGCCCAGAGCCTACTGGATTACAAATGATCATGGGGCGCCTGGGGGGCTCAGTGGGTTGGGCCTCAGACTTCAGCTCAGGTCATGATCTCGCGGTTCGTGGGTTCGAGCCCCGCGTCAGGCTCTGTGCTGACAGCTCAGAGCCTGGAGCTGCTTCAGATTCTGTGACTCCCTCTCTCTCTGCCCCTACCCCGCTCATGCTGTCTCTCTCTCAAAAATAACTAAAACATTAAAAATTTTTCTTAAATAAAATAAAAAATGATTACGACTGGGGCACCTCCTGGCTCAGTAGGTGGACCCAGCGACTCTTGATCTCAGGGTTGTGAGTTTCAGCCCCACATGGGGAATCGAGATTTCTTGCTTTTCTTTCTTTCATTTTCTTCTTCTTCTTTTTTTTTTTTTTTAAATGAATAGGACTATTAGGTGAATGTTGCTGTCGACTTACAAAGGAAAGGGCACATCTGGGGCGGGGGTGGGGTGGGGAAGCAAGTCCAAACGTGGACATACACTGAAACTGCAAGGAAAAGACCAGGGCAACGCAAAGGCACACTTAGTAAAACCGAGAGACTGATCAGATACCACAAAAACCGGGGAACAGATACTCACAGCCTGGAAATTAGAGCACGGAGCACATTCTTCTGCCACCACAAACTCCTCCACCAGCCAGCACGGCAAATTTGAGGTGCTCACTAACGGGGGAGAGAAATGCCAGGAAGTATTTGCCCCCAAAGGGTCTGCCCACCCAACTTCCCAGCACAGCTAAAAGCCTTCGCTCCGCGCGGCGCCACCCCTCCCACCCGGGCTCTCGGGACCGGGGAGGGCGGCAAAAGCACAGAACTAGGGGAGTCGGGTTACCACTCCAGCACCCACCTGACAGCTTCTCCGCCGGAACCGGAGCCTCGGCTTGGCTGCAGCGGCAGGCAGGCAGGGAGGGTGGGGAGGCGAGAGTCAGAGGCCAGAAAACTGGGAACTCCCCACCTCCGCGGAGCCGGCTCGCGGCCTGCGTGGCCCCCAGGGGCCGGGACCAGGCCGCCCTCCCGCCCCTTCCACGCCCCAGCCCTCAGCCGCCCCTTACCAGAGCTTTAAGGTCAAAGCACAGAGCAACCAGCACAGGTGGATGCCGTGGGGGAGGCCACGCCTCCCCGCGCCCGTAGGCATGGGGTGCTCGGGGTCGCGCGGGTCGGGACGCAGGGACCGGCCTCGCCCCTCCGTCGGAGCGCGGACACCGCAGCCCCCGGGGGGTCCCGGATCGGGGCTGCGAAATGCTGGAACTGCCTATCAGGGCAAAGGCTTTACTGGGCCGTCCTCACGGCCGCGGCAAGAAAAGCCGACACGCATTTGCTGGGCTGGGCTGTGCGCCCACTTCTCCGGGCCCCTTCGGCCCTCGGGAAAGGCCGAGGGACGTAGGGCCTAGCACCCCGCCGCCTCCGGGGCCGCCCGGGCCGCGGCCATCTTGCCCCGCGGAGGCTGCCGGGACCGCGAGGGACGCCGGGACCGCGGGGACTTGCCCGGCTGGGCGGGTCGGCGCAGGCGCGCGGCCTCCGGGACGCGTCGGCGGGGCTGGTGGCCGTCAGCTGCCGTCCGTGGCACCCGGGCCGCCTGCGTCGAGCTCGGCGCGCCGCGGCGCGACGGTCCTGGTGGCGAGGCTCGTGTGACTTCTCGGTTCGTGGCTTCCCGGGCCGTCGCCTGGCGGCCCCTCCCGGCCCGGGGAGCGTCGCCCCGCAGCCTCCGAAAACCCAGGGACTCACCGTCCCGCCCCGGTGGCTCCGGGAGGGAGGCGACACCGCTTTCTCCTCCCGAGACCCGCGGCGCACCGATGAATGATGCCGCCCTGCGCCTGAACTACTTCTTAAGTTTTTAGTAAACCCTGCGCCCCACGTGGGCCTGGATTCGCAGCCCCATCGCGGGATAACTTACAACCGCCCCCCGGAACTGGTGGCTGGAACGGGCTCCTCGGGCCGAGCTCCCCCAGCGGCCGCCTGAAGGGACCGGCGTCCGCGCCGGAGGAGGCTGTTAGTCCCACGTTAGGACGCCCTTGGCATTCTCTGTAAAATAGAAATGCTGATTGTGCATTTTCTAGGGGTTTTGGGGGAGATGCAAATGAAATGTGTAGGAAAGTGTTTCTTTTATTCTCTAGTTGCATCGTGTCACACACTGTCATACTTTTTGAATTCAACGTTTAGGTCGTTTCGGTCTTCAGTGTCCTGAGGAGTCAGAGTAGGTAGTGGCCCTGTTTTAGGAGGAAGCCCAGCGTGCGAGGGATTGTCCAGGCCACCGAGCGAGTGAGTGGGAGAGCTGAAGTGCGAGCCCCAGACGGTCAGCTCCAAAGCCAAAGATTCCCCCCTGCTTTCCATCCCCATGGAGTTAAACCTTGATTTGTGCCTAGAACTGCGGTGACTTGACCCACACTCGTGGTTTATGCCTTACTGTCTGGTATTAGTCATCATCTAACTCTGCCCGCGTTTTCATTCTAGTTTTACATACATACAGGTCTACAGCCTCCCAGACAACTGGACTGTGTGAGTTCAAGGAGGTACTTAAATTCGTATAAATAAGATCACTAGTAGTAATCTGTCCCCCACTTCTCAAGATGAAAGGGCTTGTCCCCACCCCCAGTCTCCTCTCCCAAGAAGTCTTCCTAGTCTAAATGTAACAGCCACTCCCCCATCCCAAGGCTACAGCAAGTGGTGAGGACTGAGCTTTATTTTCTTGTGACTACCCGCTCAGTCCTCTAAGTTATTATTTGTGCGTTATCAGTAGTTGTGCATTACAAAAGTAGGTGTGGGTGTTTCCCAGTAGCTTTTAGCTGTAAGAAAAGTCTTGGCTGTGGGGCGCCTGGATGGCTTAGTCGGTTAAGCGGCCGACTTTCGCTTAGGTCAGGATCTCGCGGTTCGTGGGTTCGAGCCCCGCGTCGGGCTGCGCTGACTGCCAGCTTGGAGCCTGGAGCCTGTTTCAGACTCTGTGTCTCCCTCTCTCTCTGGCCCTCCCCTGCTCACGCTGTCTCTCTCTCTCTCTCATAGAAATAAATAAAAATATTAAAAAAAAAAAAAAAGAAAAGTCTTGGCTGAAATCTTCTACCATCCTGTTTCTCCTTATCAAACCCTATCATGTCCCTTGACGGGCAGTGAGAGTCAGAAGCGCTCCTGTCCAGTAGCTTCACCAGGCAGCAACAGGCCTCCGCACCGGAACTGGCTTCTGAAATCTCTGGTCTGGGGTGTGATGAAGATGTTAGTCAGTGTTCTTCCTGGGATTCACAAAATGCAAGTCCTTCCTCATAACCTGGAGCAAATTACTCTAGCTGGGTCGTTGAGCACAGAGCTCGGAAGTGATCCAGATAAGGATCTTTACCCCACGGAAGTCTGCTACCTGACACACCGTGCGGCAGTACCACAGCGCTGCCCCCCGCGCGGCCAGGCCCTTTCCTGGTGTGTTGTGCGGGCCAGCAGCACAGGCCTTGCTGCTGACCCCAGGCTCGCGCAGTCCACTCCCACAGCACAGGCGTGGGGGTCTCCTAAGTGCCTCGAACTTCAGATCTCGTGAATTACACTCCTAATGGTATTTTGCCTAAACCAAATCTGCTATGTTCATTAACACAGAACACCGGATAAAAGGTCATCTGTGAGAGAAGTTTGCTGTTTAGAAACCGTTGTGTAAGGGTGACGTGGGCTGCGTGTCAAGGTGGTAGTTCTTCGGCGTGCCAGTTTTGGCCTCCTTGTTACTCGGTACTTACGAGCCATTTCTGTTACAATTTGCTGTCTGTCGTGTAAGTTCCACCCAAAGGTTATATTATCTTGACTGTTGTGCTTGGCTCATACTAGATGCTCAATGAAGATTTATGAGCAAATGAACTTCATTGTCCTCACTTATAAACGTGGAAAATAACGCCTACCAGCTACCCAGAGGGGTTGCAGGCAGGGTCAGACGCCTGAAGAACTCACGGGATAAACCATACAAGGTCCTGATATTTCCTGGAGGCCAGGGTTGACTCTCCCCTGGGAAGGCCTAAGGCCTAAGAAAGAGTTCTTCTAGAAACTAGGCAAGGCTCTGTCCACAAGGACCCTCCAATTTCCATCATGGAAAAAGGATGCCCAGTCCCTCAGGTTCAGAGAACCTTCTTGCTGTTCTCCGCAGCCATGAAACGGCAGGGACGGCGCAGCTGTGTCAGGACCTGGTGTCACCAGAACCCAGCCGGGTTCTGGAGGCCCAGCCACCTTAGAGGCAGGAATTGGGTTGAAGAGCAGAAAGCAGTTCTGGTGATTAAAGTCATCCAGACAGGGGACTCTGCGTGGGTGGCGACCCTTAATGCTGAGAAAGACCAGGCAGAGCGGACGGGTCAAAGCTTCCGAGGCGCCGCCGAGCCCCCGGCACACAGCCTTAAAGCCTGATCCGGGCCTTGAACCAACGGTTTATTTCCACTTCCGTGTGCCCTAGAAGCCCGGGGAGGGTCCGACGCCCAGGGCCTTGGCTTCGCTCCCCCCTCCCTGCCCGCCCCTCACCTTCATTCACCTCCTGACGTCTTTCTCCTCCTCGCCTCTCCCTGCCTCTCTATTCCACCTTCTCTCTCCTCACATTCCTCTCTTCCTTCTGCATTTGCTCCCCACCCGTCCGTCCGCCACTGACCCGCCTCTGTCCCCTGCGAGCCCCACCTGCCCTTCCTCCCCTGCCCGCCCTCAGCCCTGCCTCCCCCGGCCGCTGTCCACGCCCGGGTCCTCAGCCGAGGGAACACCTGCTGCTCTTCTTGTCACAGGCTCTCAGGTCGGCGCCAGGGGGCCTGTGGCTGTTTCCCTGGAGGTAGAAGGCACTGGGGTCAGGGGAGCACGGCTGGCAGGGGTCTGAGACTGCACACTGTTTGGAGGGGACCCACCCGCATGGGCAGTGTTAGCGCTGCCCGCTCCGTGGTTTTCACTAACACAACACAACACAGCACACCCACTGCTGTGCTCAGTCCAGCACAACCAGCTCACCGATCTCCGGCTTCCTGACTTGAGCAAGATGTCCCGGGCCAGGGAACTGAAGGCCTGCCGGGGGAGGGGGGACCGGTCAGAACAGGCTGGAGGTGGCGGGGGCGGCCTCACGGGCGTCTCCGGGAGCAGGGGGTGGGGGGCGGGCACGGGGGCGTCTCACCTCATCCACATTTGTGCTGGATTTGGCACTTGTCTCGAAGAATCGAATTCCATGCTCCCGAGCCAGCTGTGGGGTGGAGACAGCAGACGGGATGAAGGCGGCAGCTGGCGGGGGGCGGGGGGCCCCCCTCGACCGACCGCCGGGCCCTCACCTTGTCGGCCTGCTCCCTCCGCACTTTCCTCTTGGCCTCCATGTCACACTTGTTGCCCAGCAGCAGACGCTGCACCCCAGCCGACGCGTTCTGGAGGCCAGAGGGCAGGAGGGGTAGGGCTGGGTCCTGCTCACCTTCATGCCCCTCACCCTCCAGGTGCTACCCAGTCCCTCATCTCTCCAGGGTGGTCCTCACCTCTTTGATGCTTTTCATCCAGTTCTGAATATTCTCGAAAGACTTCTCATCCGTGATGTCGTATACTAGGATGATGCCCTGGGAGGTGGCAAGAAGTCACCCTGGAGCCTCGGGCCACACCCCCCCCCCCGTTTCTGCTTCCTGCCCCTCCAAGTGACCCTTCAAGTCCTAGCCACGCGTGTGATCGCTGGTCCAGGCGGGGCCCTCCACACCCCACACGGTGCCCCCGGCCCCTTCCCTGGCCGGCCCCTGCCCCTCGGTTCTCAGAGCCCCGCACGCTGCAGCCTCACCCCTTGTCCAGACCCGCGGCTCGTACCATGGCTCCGCGGTAGTAGGCAGTGGTGATCGTCTTGAATCGCTCCTGGCCAGCTGTGTCCCTGAGGAGGTGGAAGGTTTTGTGGGGCGGGATCGAGGGAACAGCTCCCCAGGGAGAGAATTCCCCCGGCTAAGAATTTAGCTTTGCCACAGAGTGGGCTGAAAGGAACAGAAGCAGAAAACAGCAACGAGGAAAGGAGGGGAGACAGCTGGGAACGAGGTCTCTTGGGTTCCTTCGTTGAAGGCTCAGTCTGTGCGAGCGCCGCTCTGCCTCCCTATGCTTGTGACACATGCTCTGCTGTCCCTGTCTCACAAGCGACGAGCAGATTCGGAGACGCCAAATAACTAGGGACGGTCCTTCTGCAGCGGAACTTGAGCCAGAACTTGAACCACAATGTGCTCTTGTCTGCTGTACCTTAACACCTTTCTCAGGCCGCCAGCCACTGCCACACCTGCAGAGTCCGGTGACAGCGTCCTGTGACGGGTCAGCCCTCCATCTTTGGCTTTCTGGGCTCGCGGCAATTCAGAGAGAGCACAGACTTAGAGTCAAGTCTTAATTCTGCCACATGCGGTTTCCCCGCTTTAATACTGTTTCCACAGGACAGCCCTGCAGACATCTGTCAGGTTCAGAGAATGTTCTGGAGCTGGGAGAGGCAAGAGAGTTACAAGAAAGCTGAAAACAGTTGCGTGAGCAGGAAGAGAGACGGGAGGACCCCGCGTGAGGTGACAGGAAATGGACGTAGCGAAGGAATTGTGGGGAAAGGAAGAAAAACGAAGCAAAGCCAGGGGAAAGGGGAAACGGAGGGGAACGAGGGTGTGTGGCCAGCAGTCCGGGGGGCTCACTCACCAGACCTGCAATTTGATCTTCTTCCCGTCTATATCCACAGTGCGGATCTTGAAGTCGATTCCTAGGAGTAGAGCACATACGTTCAAGTTGGGACTCTGCGCGGACACGGAGAGTGTGAGAGGGGAGACCCGGGGTGGAGGGCGGAGGGCATGCGAGGGGAGACCGCGTGGACGCGGAGGGCGCGCAGGGGGCACGCAGGAAAGGAGCCGCAGGGCGAGCCGTGCAAGGAGGCAATTGGGAAGCAACTTTGTTGCGAGCATAACTAGGAGAATTTTCTCCAAGTGTAGTGTGGAGCCAGCATCTTGTTTGTACGAGGTGGCATGGATGTGGGGGGCGGGGATGGAAACCGCAGGGAGAATTCAGGCACCTCCTGGACGCTCAGCCGCAGCTGCTGACAACTCTTGGAATTGAGTGTCTCCCCCAGAATATTACTCTCAGATTCCTTTCCCTTCTGTTTTCTCAGAACCCGCTCCTCTGGGCTCTCTACCTGCGCCGCAGCCACGCAGACGAAGGGCCAGGAGGAAGGGAGCGGACGCCCTCGGGTGCGCTAACTAGCACGCTGGGCTCGCAGGCAAGAAATCTGAGGCTAAAAAGATTCCTCCGGAGCGTGAACTAGGAGAGAGGCATCCCCTTCCCTTTTCCGACCAGAATTGCCTTGAGACTCCCCTCACTTTATTTCCCAGGCCAGAGAAGATGAAGAAAGACCAGAGGGGGGGAGGGAGGCAGTGCGCTCAGGGGAAACTCGGGCGCCTCCCCGGAGCCTGTCGGGAGCCCAGGGAGGAGGCTGAGTCACCGGGCTGACTCAGAGCCCCCCAAAGTCCCCCCGCTCCCACCGCCCTGCCCGGCGGACTGCATATTCACCGTCCCAGCCCTTGGGCCACCCTCCAGCACACCGGCCACTCCGTCCCCACCCCAAGCCCCCAGCCGAGTTGAGGAGCGGGGAGGCTGGAAGTAGCTGCTGCGGGGGGTGCGGGGGGAGTCTGACCGTCAGCGGGACAGAAAGAGGCAGGCGGAACTGGAGGTCGGGGAGAGGGGTTACAGGAAACAGGGAGAGGTGGGGGGCGGGGGAGACTACTGGAGCAGGAAACGGAGAGGGGTTCGTGGGGATCCGGGGAGACGAGGGAGGAGGGCCGCCAGGACCCCGAGGCGCTGGCGCAGCGGAGCATTACCTGGAGGCCTCCGGGACTTGGAGGTTGGGTACCACCCGGGAGCTGTGCGCCGGGGATGGGTCTGGGCCGGGGGCTCGGGAGCCTCAGTCTAGGGGGGGCTGAGGAGTGGGGCCGCTACAATCGGGGAGCCTGAGGATGCGGCCTTGGGGGTGAGGGGCCTGGGGTGCGGCCGGTGGCTCACCGATCGTGGAGATGTAAGTGCTGTTGAAGTTGTCTTCTGCAAAGCGAATGATCAGACAGGTCTTGCCCACCCCCGAGTCCCCGATCAGCAGCAACTTGAAGAGGTGGTCGTAGGCTTTGGCCATGGCGGACACCGGGGAGCCGGGGGCGGGGGGGAGCGGGATCGGAGGGCCGGGGACGGAGCGGCCGGGAGCCCGGGCCAGGAAGTTTTCCTCCCTCCCCGCCCAGGCTCCGGGATGGAGGGGAGGCGGCACCCCTCTGGGCCCCACCCCCTGCCCGCCCACCCCCTCCTCGCCGGGCCACTTCCCCCCGCGTCCGGCTCGCTGTCACCCGCTCCGGATCTCGCTCCGCAGTCTCGCCCGCGGAGGCTGGCGGTGGGAGCAGAGCCGTAGCCGCGACGAGCAGGGGAGGAACGAGGGGGAACGGGGACGTCTGGGGGATGGGGTGGAGGTGGGGGTGGCCCTGGGAGCGACAAAACCGGGGGCAGAAGGTCTGCAAGGGGCGGAAACCTTGCGCGGCTCTGGAACCCCGGGGTCGCAGCTCCCCGCCCTCAGCGGCGGCCCGACGCGGTTTGAAGAGAGCGGGACGCGCTGCAGAGGCGGCTGCTTGTCGGGTGGCTCTGCCCCCTGGCGGAGCAGCGTGAAGCAGCAGCGCCCGCCCTGCGCACCCCTGCCCCGCCGCCCTCCGAGACGCGCTCCGGGGTTCCACCAGCACCCGCCCTTCCTTCCCTCTGCGGCCGCGTGTGGCTTCCCCGACCCGCCGGCTCCGGGAAGGCGGAGGCCGGGGCCGAAACCGTCTGGCCGCGTGCTCTCGACGAGGGGCGCGTCTCGGGGACACAGCGGGGCCGCGCCCTCCCGCCTCCCGGAAAGGCTGTGCGGAGGCCGCCGGGACGCCCGAGCGTGGACACCGCGGCTGTCAGGACAGTTGGCTTTGCGGGTGGAAACCAAGTACTCAGAGTCCGCTTCTCTGGAAGGGGGTCCGTAGAGCCGGCCTCGCAGTGTCCGGCTGTGCGCCGCCCGGTCCCCTTCGGGCCGCGTCACAGACTTCCCGCCGGCTCTGCCATTTCCCCGAATTGTTCTGAGACAAATCCGTCCGTTCTTTCCCTATTCCGTTCGCCGGACGTGGCTCCTCACCCCCGGAGGTGTGGCTGTTGGTCCCCGGTCTACGCAGCACTCACCCCGGTGAGTCGGGGCTCCCCGGCACCTGACCCCGCGCGCTCTGCCCTCCCCGCCTGTCCCCTGCTCAGCTACGCCAGGCCCCTTCCGGCCCCGAGTTTTGCCTCCTCCCCGACAGTCGCGCGGCTGATTCCACGCCCTTCACATTTGGGCCTAAATGTCACTTTCTCGTGGGACTTTCGGGCCGCGAGCGAGCGGGGTGCTGAGAACAAAGCGCGCCCGTCCCTCGCCGGCGCGGGGCTGCGTGACGCCCCGCGGGCAGCTCTGAGCAAACACTGTGCCCAGCACGTCCGTGGTCGCGCGGGTCCCCACGCGGCCGTCCCGCGCGCGCCGCCCGCCCCGGGACCGCGCGGGCCGCGGGGGGACGACCTGACCGCGGTCGGGGGCTCGCCCTCGGGGCGCACCCGGACACTTGACGCCGTCAGAAGAGGAAGGCTGGGAGGACACCGCACACTCTCAGAGCGGTCAGCCCGAGGGTGGGCTGGGGGCGGAACCAGGAGGAGGGTCCCCTCCGTGTCTACGTTCCTGCGGTGTTAACAGGGCGAAGTAAACCAACTGGGGAACAGGAGGGAAGTCGAGGAGGGCCGGGCCCGGCTGGGTCGCGCCGCAGCCCCGCGGCAGGCCCGGCGGGAGGCGGCCGCTCCAGCCACACGGGCGGCGCGCGGCCCCGGCATGGCGGCCGGGCGCGCGCGCGTCACTTCCGGCGGGCGGCGGATATAAGCGGCAGGATTTCCGCTTTCGCTCCTTTCCGGCGGTGACGACCTGCCCACGAGAACATGCCCGTGAGTTGCTCGGCCCGCGTCTCGGCGGAGCCCCCGCCGCCCGCGCGTGCTCGCGCTCCTCCGCCGGGGGCGGGCGGCGGGGGACGGCCGCGGGCTCCGGGGCTCGGGCCCGGGGCGCCGGGGCGGGGGCCGCGGGGCCCGGGGCGGCGGTAAGATGGCGGCCCCGCTGCGGACTCCGGGCGGCGCGGGGCTGCCGCCGCCGCCGCCCTGACCGCGCCCGTGTGCCTCCCGCAGCTCGCGAAGGAACTCCTGCACCCGTCCCCGGAGGAGGAGAAGAGGAAGCACAAGAAGAAGCGCCTGGTGCAGAGCCCCAACTCCTATTTCATGGACGTGAAGTGCCCGGGTGAGGGCCGGGGCCGGGGGCCGCTCGGGGTCCTGGGGCGGCCGGCGCGGGGTGGGGGCGGGGGCCCGGGCCCCGGACTGGCCCCGACTCCCCGCTTGTTGGTTCGCAGGGTGCTACAAAATCACCACCGTGTTCAGCCACGCGCAGACGGTGGTGCTGTGTGTGGGCTGCTCCACCGTCCTGTGCCAGCCGACAGGAGGAAAAGCAAGGCTCACAGAAGGTAACCTGCGCGGCGGCGTCCCTTCACGACCCCCCGCGAGCTCTAGAGGGAGGGTCGGGCGCTGCTTGTCTCAGTCCCCCCGCCCCCCGGGAAGGTTTCCGGAAACCGCACAGCACCCAGGTCCGAAGCGGGGGCGACGGGGGGTGGATGAGGGCCTCATGGGAGCCCCCCGCGCGCTGCCGGCCTGTCCGGTGATCTCTGAACCTTTCTCTCGCAGGATGCTCCTTCCGACGGAAGCAGCACTGAAAGCGCCCGGAGTCGACATGAGTGGGGCTTTAACCCAATAAACGGATTTTGGATACGTTCTGTTTATTGTCTTTGTTTTACTGCTAGGAAGTTCCTCCTTCCAGTGTTGAGGGACAACCGGAAGAGTGGACTGCTAGAGTCACTTGGGGCAAGTAAGTGGCCAAGTACCTAAAAGGTCCGTTTGGGACCTTTCTGTCCAGCGAGTTGACCTTCAGAACTTGATAAAAATCTGAGATTCTACGTAAATGGGGTATTTTCTTGCAGTTTTATGTTTTCTTAGAATTAGGACCTAGTAGTTGATGTCTGAAACAGTCCAGGGGTGCCTGGGTGGCTCAGTCCGTTAAACATCTGAGTCTTATTTTGGTGCTGGTCCTGATATCCTGGATCCAAGGCTGGCGTCAGGCTCCTTGCTGTCAGCGTGGAGCCTGCTTGGGATTCTCTCTCGCTCTGCCCTTGCCACCACTTGAGCATCCGCACGCTCGGGCTCTCTCAAGCCATTTATTAAAAAAAAAAAAAAAAAAAAGCCACAGCCCAACACACCACTTCAGTGCAGAAAAGCTTAAAATTCTTTATTTGTAATTCTCACAAGCCTTGTTTGGGAGTTAAGGCTCCTGGTCTGGGGCTAGAAATCTCTGGTCCTTTACAGGTGAGGGGACGTGTCCAAGTGGACACTAGTGCCTTACACTCCACAGCCAGTGTTGTAGCCGATTCTGGGCTGGTGGGGGTTGGGGACTCGGGAAAGGTGGGGGAGATCGTTCGGGGATAAAAGAACCTAGAAATAAAGCGGGAAGACAAAGGAGAGGTGAATGAACGTGGATATGTGAACTTAGCAAAGGCGAGGGTGGGGACTGTTTACCTGGTTGGGGCGTTGCTAGAGTTGGTACATAAACCACCGGGACTGTCTGGATCACGTTTAAGAACGCGTTGTATGCTAGAAGAACGAGGGAGAGGTCACCAGAGGCAGATTTGGTTTTGTTAGAAGACTTTTTACTAAGCAAGTTGAATGGATGTTTCAGTATTACTATGAAAAAGCAGTAATGCTTTAAGTAATATTGTAATAGTACAGGAACTTTTTATTCCAGCGGTTTTAGAAGTGTTTCAAATTAGGGGCGCCTGGGTGGCTCAGTCATTTTAACTGTCTGACTCTTGGTTTTGACTCAGGTCATGATCTCATGGTTTTGTGGATTTGAGCCCCAAGGCACGCTCCACACTGAGAGTGCAGAGCCTCCTTGGGATTCTCTGCCTCGGTCTCCTCTCTGCTCCTCCCCCACTCGTGCTGGGTCTCTGTCTTAAAAGTTTCAACTTCAAAAGGTGAGAAAAAAAGGTGTAGACAATAGCCTGCTAAGTTCTATTTCCTCTGTAATAGTTATGAATTTGGGCAAAACTAGCCATTCTCAAGGCTTAGTGGTGTCCACTTCCGAGTGGGGTGTGTCACATGCTGCTTAACAGCTTTTTGGTGGGAAGTTGAGTAGGACATTTCATCCGCTAGGTGACAAGGGCTAAGGAGGTTGAATGAGTTCCAGCTGCTTGTCATGAGTGACGGGATACGCTGCTGAATGTAAGGGCTCCTTACCTAAAAAGACCAAAGCTGTCGATGCTAGCACTGCAAAGAGGGTAAAGAGAATGGTCTCGGGAGAACCCAGGAACTTCTGGAGGACGCTGGCATCTTCACACCGATCTGTGCGTGGTCAGAACAAACTGCGTCACACATGCTCACAGCGCTCAAGGCAGGTGGCTGCACTTAAAATCGTTGGTCACGCGTATCTAGCAGAAACTCAAAGAAGAGGTAAAGTGTGTACCTGGTTTCTCTACCTGTTTTTGGCTCGCTCCTGTCTCCTAGGTGATAAATGGCAATCCCTGAACTTGGATTTCGCCTCCACTAACAAATGGACATTGGAATACTCTACCTTAAAATACCACTGTACTTGAACCCCAAGTGACTTGCTTCTCTTCACCAAATTTGTGGTTGTGGCGACTGAACTTGTAGTTCTAATCCCTCTAACCTGAACCTCTCTGTCACCAGCCCCCTCTTAAATCCCAGGGTCCCCTTGTCCTTGTTACTCAGGATCTCCTTTCTAGGGAGCATTCTGATTTGTTCCCAGTAAAACCTGTTTTTGAAGCCCAACCAGTATCTGACTTCGGTTATTTCAGCTTCTTCGGTGCCTGGAAAGAACTCCCGCTCCACCAAACTCCCTGAACTTGAGGTCTTCTCTACCTGGGTCTTACTTTGCATCCCGAGTACAGGCCCTCTCAACCGCTGGTCTTCCCTCCATGGGACTTTGTTTCAGAACTGTTTACAAGCTGCTTCTCTCTGAAGGATGGTTTGAGATTGCCTTAGTTTTAGATGCACTAAGAACAAGAATCTCGGGGCGCCTGGGTGGCTTAGTCGGTTGAGCGTCCGACTTTCGCTTGGGTCATGATCTCGCGGTTCGTGGGTTCGAGCTCTGTGCTGACTGCCAGCTCGGAGCTTGGAGCCTATTTCAGAGTCTGTGTCTCCCTCTCTCTC